CTTGCTTCTGCTTCCTCAGCCTATAATCTTATAAGCTGAACCACTGCCCCGGTTTATTTGCATTCTCAAAGAAATTTTGTTTTGCTTTTTTTATAGACTGTGCCAATTTTGCTTTTTCAAATATAGCCAATTCATATTTAATCAATTCCATACTTCCTTTTATACTTCTATTTTGTGGTTTCTTTTGAAGTTCACTCTCTAAATTTCTATATCTTTCTTTCAACTCTTATTTTTTGATTCTCAATTTTTTTTCCCCTAGCTGTAGCCGATATCGTGACCCCTCTTATAAATGCCTTAGTTGTATCCCATAAGTTTTGTATGGATGTGTCTCCTGGCCAGTTTTCTTTGAAGAAAAATCTCAATTCCTGATCAACTCTTTTAATATATTCCTGATCCTTTAGGATTGTTCCATTGAATAACCAACAATAACTGTCTTTTTGTTTTTTCCATATAATCCTCATGGGATATATCAACATTAATATAGTTTTAAAAGAAAAAATATATTTTAAAAGTAGAAAAGCAACAAATTCCTGGCTTTGCTCATAAATGTATAGCCTGGTACATTTCTATTATTTTCCTGCTTGCAGCAACCTTTCCAACTCTATAAAACATGACTGTGAGATTCCTCACAACTAACTCCAAATAAAGTTTAGCAGACACTTAATTGGTATTGATGTTCATACAAATAGAAATGACAAGGTTATTAAAGCCCCATAATACAATACTGCAAAATGTGATGGTTTTTCAGCTAACTAGAACCTATAATGCAAACCTTGTTTCTTTGTTTGAACTAGTAGAATTTATTTTTGTTTTTATTTGATTTGATTTGTCAATCATTTACAAGATAATAGGTATAAGAATAAACATGAGTAAGAATGAAATGGGTACAAATAAATGGGGACAGTAGGACAGGGATGGTAGGCATGATGGCGTGCCTATGCCCACCCTTTACAGATCTCTTAGAAATGGGGTGAGGTCAACAGTAGACAGTTTAAGGTTAAAGTTTTGGGGGTTTGAAGATGTAATAATAGAGTCAGGTAGTGCCTTCCAGGCATTGACCACTCTGTTGCTGAAGTCATATTTTCTGCAATCAATATTCTCCCATAATCACTTCCCTGTTATCTCAAAAAAATAGTTACTTTGTTTTAAATCCCCGAGAATATATTCATTTATGTTCTGTAAACAAGAAATCGGTATTTGAAAATTCACTTCTACTTGAAATCAATACAAGGTTAGGATTAGGACTGGTTTGGTGTTAGAGTTACAGAAAGGTTGGTGGGAACCACCTTTTCCCTTGTGGTAATTGCAGCTGCAGGTGAATCATATGGCTTGCTCTGCTGAGTTGAAGATTGCAATTTAAATTAAGCATTTCCCCATGATATCCATGAAAAGGTAAAGCATATATGTTGTCTTGGATCTTGTTGTATAAAGTGGACACTTATCAGAAATAAATGGGATACATTAAGGCAACTCTATTCATGTTTACTCAATAGTAAACTTTCTGAATGAATGGAATTATTCAAAGTAGATACAAATAAAATTGTGTTGTTATGGAATCTTTTATGATTTCCTTAATAATTAAAATATTTTATAAATGTATTGTTTTATAACTTGTGTTCTTATACTTTACTTTTTTATTTATTTGAGCTGCCTGATGTCAGCTTTGGTCACATGATGGTGAGTAAGAATATTTTAAAACTTAGGTATTTTATTTGTAAACATCATATATTAAATACCATTATAATTTTAATTAAACTATTATTATTACTCAGTCTTAAGAAGCATGCCATCATAGTGCATCTTAAATCTATATGTTCTCCTTACCATTTCACATGGGAAATCAACAAAATTGCCTTTGGGTTTTTCCCCACTGTTGAGTTCAAAACATTATTCCAACACAATATTTGTTTCAGACTTTGCCCACCCCTGTTCCGTGTCTGTTTCCAATCACTGCTTGATGTCAATAAAGGGAAATGTATGCAGTGGTGGGATTCCAAATCTTTTCCTACCGTTTCTATGAGAGTGTGCCTTGCACACGTGCACAGCACTCAAAGACCACCCTCGATGTCAGCGCTGGTGAGCTGTGTTTTAGCTCAGCTGAGGCACAGCAATTCGCTCTGCCATGTAAATCAGCTGAGCTAAAAAACAAGGGAATATAGAACAGGGAACAATGGGGGCAGGAGGGTGGAGCCAACCAGAGGTGGTATTTGCTGGTTTTCTGAATTGCTCAAAATTTCCACTACTGCTTTGCCTGAACCACTCCAAACCAGCTGAATACCACTTCTGAATGTATGGCAAAACCTAATTCATTTTATATACTTTGAGGTTCCCCATGCATGGAGGTAGATTAAGAGGCAAAATATTTCCTTAATACCAGCACAGAAAATCTGGCATGCATCTGACTCACCTGTACACTGAAACCAAGGTGAAGAAAAGCTCATGGGAACATGGCAGAAAATAGATATCATTTTATGTCTGTTTCATAGTGGTATGCAAGTAGGGAAAGCCCTTTTACACCTGAGTGCCCTCCAGAAAAAAATTGTGCTGGATACTGCATCTGCCAACACTTACTTCCACTCACCACTGCTTTGTGACATTCAGATGTATTTATCTTGACATGTAAAGTGTCAAAGGAAAGCTGGGCAACATGGTTTCTTTGGATTCCCTATTTTAGGAAACTTCAAGACTTCTATTGTTGCCATGGTACAACCTCTGTGTGTCTTTTTTTTCTGCAGAATTACTCTGTGTTAGAGATGAGACCTCCCCCTACAGTCATCGCACTGAACAATGCCATGTACTGGCAAGAATTTGAAGACAATTGTATCTATGAGTGTCTGGATGGGAAAGACTGTCAGAGTTTTTTCTGCTGTTACGAAGAATGCAAATCAGGTTCCTGGAGGAAAGGGCGGATACACATAGACATCTTAGAACTCGACTCTTATTCCAGAGTCTTTTTTCCCACGTCGTTCCTGCTTTTTAACCTGGTCTACTGGGTTGGATACCTCTATCTCTAGAAACAGTGAAGAAAACTGTGTTTTTCTTATTTCTTTGGGATGGGGAATATGTGGAAAGACAGATCCAGAATGGTTTCATTGGAAAGCTGAAAGATCACCTTACTTTTTCTCATTCAAGAAAAAGCCGTTTTTATTGATTGTTTTGTCTAAAAGGAAAAAAAGTCACTTATTTGAGGTTTTTTGCTAACTACATCTGACACGATCATGTAACAATGTTTATCTTAATTGTTCTCATACAATGGAGAAATTGCTGTTTTCTTTGGGTTACAGTTAACTATGTAGCATACAGATAAGCAAGATAGGGATGTTTCGAATAGTCATTCTTACGTTACTTCTGTCTTTTAAACTTGTTTTGGAAGCAAATTTGTATTGGTACAAGTTCTCCACAACTTTGTTTTGAGGAGGATCTGAGTTCAAGGAAAAGTCTCTCTCTCTCTCATTCACTTCACAGGTTTCAGGATGTTCTCTCTGGTCTTCTTCTGAGATGAAAAGGCATGATTTCAAAAAAAAATCTTTACGTTTGTTTTTCACAAAATTGTTGGGTTTTTTTTGTTTTTTTAAACACAGAGTTTAATATTCCACATATTGGGCAAATACTTCAAGAAACCAATTTATTTCTGGAATAATACTCTTGCAATGCTTACTTTGCTTTTGGTACTGTGTAAGATGACTTCCTATGTAATAGTAGTGGAAAGGTATGATTCATTCCAAGCTAGGTTAATTTCTTCCATACTTTACTATTTGTTTTCACTGATATTTTCAGGGTGAATAAGCCCTCTAGTTCCAGCCTGAATAAGATCTACTGTATCTGTGCTAATTAAAATCCATGTGCCTCAATCACTGTTCTGTGTAGGTTAAATTGCACATCCTATTGTTGCACCATTTGACTTGTGAACTGGATTCTTCCATTTAAATGACTGCAGAAGTGCTTGTTGTTAGTATCTTCGCCTGGTAAATTATCTTTGGATTGGCACAACAGTGGCTTTTGTTCTTACCAGATCTATAGGAGCCTTAAGGATGGCAAGAAGATGAGATATTGGGAGTTCAGTTAAAAAATGTAGTGATGCAGAATCACTAGGACTTTTTTTTTAACTAGGAGATTTTAAACTGGAAATGTATTTTGTACTTTTGGAACACATTTCAGATATTAAATTCCTGAAAATAATACATTCTTCTCTGGTGTAAAATATTCATTATAGACAAACCCAATTCTAGAAGGCTAATGTAAATGTCTCAATGGTTATTTATTGATTTGATTATTTACTTATTTATTTATTTATTTATTTATTTATTTATTTATTTATTTATTTGTATTTCTACTGCAAACAGTATAGCTACTGTTAAAAACAAGTTTGCTCTCCCTGCCTCTTCTCAAACTCTCTCCCTATCTCTTCTCAAACTCTAAGCATAACAGTATTTTTAAAAGTGTAACTCTGACACCATCTAATGCCTTTTTTTTCACTGACAACCTGAGGACTCATTTACTTGCTCCAAATATTTAAGTACCATGCACGCACTTCATTTTGTTCTATATTGTCTCATTTTCTCTTGGAACTCAGTATTAAGAATTTATTTGTTCAAAGAAATGAATTTTAATATCAAAGGAAAAGAAAAGTATTATTGTTTGGTAGTAAAATGTGTTTTTTACAAAGAGGATATAAGTTTCAATTCTGGGCATTTTCAGATACAGCTGAAACTATCTATCTGAACCACACAGAGATCTGCTGTTATTAAAACATGGCAGTTAGCTAGACCAATGATTTGATCTGAAAAAATTGCTTCTACTGTCTATTACATATTCTAAATACAGTTTTAGTAGGTAATACTTCAGAACTGTAAATGCTAATTCAGTAAGAGTGCTGGATTTAAAAAATGTACTAAATTTTACCAAAAGCTTTCCAAAACTATACTTGTTTATTTTAGATGAAAAAAATTAACAGATAATTTATTAGCAGACGTTGAAATCTTTCAACTTAAATATAGATATCAGATTTTTTTTCAAGTTCATTTCCTCTCAATTTTCATAAAACGTCAAGAATCAAAGTGCAGTTTTCCCACAAAGATGTGCTTAATTAAAAGAATATATAGTAAAACTCACACAAGGCACTGTTACGAAAACAAAGAACTACAGTATTAAACTGATGGCCTATGTAAATATGAGAGTAATTTTCTGGCAAGGAATCCAGTAAACCCTCAGCTAGTGAAGTTAAATTGAGTTTACTGCTTGTTGGTATCAGGATTGGACTTTCTTTTTAGGATACTGCAAACCTAATTTGTTTAAATTAACTGGAAAGATGATATACCTAGGTAGAATAATTGCTGAGAATTGTCACACAGTAGAAAAAAATGGCATACTTTATGTGCAATTTTATAACATATATAACCAGTACACATATTTCATAGGATAGGATTTGTATATTTGCTCACTTTCTATTGTATATCATCTAAACAAGACATTTGATAAAATCAAACAGAAAATAAAGCTGTGCTCAAAATCTTAGCGCCCTCCCTCCCAATCTCTGGAATCAAAGCAGTCATTAAATTAACAAAACTATTTTGTATATGACTTGGTTAATGTGAATGATATAAAGATTTTCTTTCTTGATTTCTACAATCAATTATAGACAGGTTACACATAATTCACAAGCTAATTTTGGGATTCAAAATACTTTGAAAATATTTTTTTTTCCTAAGGAGTGTTGAAAAGTAGCAACTTCACTCTTTATTATCTTTCAGGGGCCATATGAGTGCAGTTGTCTTTTGTTGAGCAGTGCCAATCAAAATGTGTAGCCATACACAGTCGGTGATGTTCCTCATTTTCAGACTTGACATTCCTCATTTTCTGATTAACTCATGGATGGAATCCATATTTCAATCCCATTGGTTGTATTGCAAGTGATTTATATTTGCAGAGCAATCAACTCTTTTTCTTCAGCAGAATCAAAGCTCTATTCTCCCTACTTCCCAAGAATACTGTTAGATCTGAACAAAAAAAAAACAACAGGGAACCATTAGGTGGTAGTAAAAAGCTTGGGTTTTCTGCAACACTCTGCAGTCATCCAGTGGACATCCAAGAGATTGCAGTCCAGATCTGGTAGCCCTATTATTGTATAATTAACACATTCTGTTATTTCAATTTTCCTGTTTAAATTAAAAACTTAGTGAGGGATATTATAATACCATAACCTCTACCCTGGATTACTACACAAAATTTCCTATACTAACTTTCTTTCCAACTAAAAAATATTTATATTCTAAATGAACCTAAGATGAATTTGCTACTGATTTCTTTGCTTATCTTTTGAATTACTATGCTCAACCTGTTTCCCTGTCCTTTATTTATTTTTAGAAGTAGCTTGCTATTCCATGAACATTTTTTGAGGTCTTCAATTGCCAACATGAATTATTCTTTTTTAGCATCTAAAAGGCAAGTTTTAGGACAGTGATCTGTGAGCTAAGTGCTATTATTTCACAAAAATGCAACTGAAAGCCAGTATTGTATATTTTTATTGTCTTATGAAACATTTTTCCTTGAGGGGTATAACCAGCCGCAATTGAGCAGATGGAAACAAATTATGAAACTTTTCAATTAATTTATAAAGGCTCCTTATATAATAATGGCTTTAGATTTTATTATTTTTGTATTTCACACACACACACACACACACATAATGTGGAGGATCCCTTTTTATTATTAATGCTATTTATTTAGAAATTTGTCTATGTGGTCACCAGGAATCAATACTGAGTTGATAGTACATAATCAAACATAAAGCATCTAATTTTCATCATTAATAAGCAATCTCGTGGTATCAAGATAAAAATATATTATTACAGCTTAAAACCATAATAAAAGATAGCAGGAATGAAAACCCCATGGCAAGAGTAATTAACACTGACAAGTCTTCAGCTGGTCTGAAAGCTTTCAAAGCTTGGTGTTGGCCCCCAATGAGCAGGAAGATGAAGCCATGATTGGAATATCTTTCTCTAAAAAAGGCATGGTGAATCTTTCTTGATCACACATGCCTTTGAGTGGTATACCAGAAGACATGGTCCAAAAGGTGGTCAGAAAAAGTGGATGACCTCAGAACAAAAACCAAATTTAACAGAGTTAATGTGATTATTGTCATGAATTTAATAAATTCTGCACATTAAACTTGACATCGAAGGGTTCATTTTTTTCTCTGCCCATTAACATAATCTAGAATGCTGCTTTCATACAGCACAGTTGTTGATTATTGGTGCAAGTTAAGGATCCAATTATTTTTTTGTATCAGGCTTTTTTTCTTTCCTTATCCACAGCTGTTGAGTATCTTGTAAGTAAATGATCTTAACCTACTTCATCCTTCTCCAATCTGATAACTCTGAAATGAATTGAAGCATATTCTCCATCATCCCAGCCAGCATTGTGTCTGTCATTCAGACTGGAATTAAGGAAGTTGTCTTTATATGCAATTAATGCCTTCAAGTAATATTGGTAGCCTCTGTTTGTTTGTCTGTTAATGTTTGTTTATTCATTTATTCTTTTTTTATATAGCATATGTTCCAAATCAACAAGCTGGTCCCCCACAGTTAAACACAAAAAGGAAAGAATACTTAGTCTGAAGATGTACAAGTCTGATCCACTGTGAATTTTCAAATAAGCTGTCTATAGTCATACTATCAAATTGAGCATTTGTTGAGCACTTACTGCCTTGTAGAAGTACTCACAGCTTTACTAAATTCACCTGTTCAATCCTGACTTTAGGTCTTAATCTAATGCTCTCTCCCCCGCACCAGTAAATTACAAAAATCAGGTTAATTCATAAAGACTATTAAACATTAATTGCACTACACAATATCCTGTAGATATAGGAGTCTGTCTGGAACTCATAACTTTCTAGAGTAAAAATACAGTTGCCCCCTTAATTTTAATGAACTACTAAGGAAATTACACTAATTAAATGGGGCTATAGCCATGTCCCAAACACTAAAATGCTTTACTCTTACTTTACATAGCCTTTCTTTATGTTACATCTGAGTTAAAGAGTTGTTTTGTTTTGCTCTTATTTCAGACTTTTTATAGATGCAAAATAAAAAAGCAAAAGCAAACTATCAAACCCAAATCCTTTTTTAAATTCACAAGTTTTGCAAAACGTTCCAAAGAATTTCCATTTTTTTAAAAAAAAGTGAATTAAATAACTTACTACAATATTTGCATATGGAACAAATTCCATTGCTAAAACAAATGTGTGGCTAGGCAAGTACACTAAACACATTACAAGCAAGTAAGTTATATCTTGAAATATGCTCTTTGTCAGAATTGAAGCCCAGTTCTTTTCTATTACAGTCTCCCAAGTCTCTGCATTGTGCATCCATCACAAAAGAGGGAGGCTTTCCTTATGCCTTCACTGTAGCATTGATGTAATCTTCTAATTGATCTTATGGCACATTGTGCCAAAGGAGGAGCTGAAGGCAACCAACAGTGCTAGTGTTTGATTTCAGTGCTAATAAGATGTCACTTTCCATGCTGTGACTTCTTTACCTAATCATATCAGAAATGCTCTTCTCATAGAGCCTAATAGAATCAAGCTATAATTTTTTTAAGTTACAATTGTTAAAAACAAAACAAAACTTCACTAACATATGTAACACTACTATCTGGAAGTTTTTCCTGAAAAAAACTTTGTTTATCTTGTGCTATATAATAATAATTCTTGTAAGTCCTGGAGGATTTTTCGGATTATTCACAAAGGGCACAAGCTGAATCTGTGGGTTTCAAAGTTCAGAGTCTCTAGTTGTCAAGACAATTACCTAGAAATATGGGAGTTGAATTCCAAACACATAGAATGTATCCAGACTAGGAAAGATGAGTTGGATCAGCTTACCTTCCTTCCTTTCCCCAGATACTATGGAGAAAGGTTTTAAAATTGTTAGGGACAATATTAAAATGAATATTACATCCATGTCGAACTAATTCTTCTCCTTCATCACCTACAATATTAAGCTTGATAATACCAAAGATAAATCAGATGAATTGCCAAGGGATGCTAGATCGTCTTTCTATGTACATCTAACAATGAAATGAGACACCACATGACTGGTGGCAAATATATGTGTCCCAGGATACAATCTGGGTCAGACAACGGGCCAAGATCTTTCCAGCTTTCAGATTTGTGCTAGAACCCATTCTCAGAGAACTTCGGTTTCACTAGAATGTGAGAGAAGTTCCCTGAAGATGGGCTCCAGCTCAGAAAACTAAACCTCTGATCATGATGACTGATCCAGATTGGATTCTCAGAGGTCCACATTTCAGAGACAT